AATTTGGTCTAAAGATCCTGAATTTCTCCCTTGACTTGTTCGATTTGGTGAAAATCGATGTTGTACTGAATTTAATCATTCGCAACTTAGAAGAACAGCTGTTGGTGGTGCACCCAAATATACTGATTACAAATGGCTGAGTTGTTTATGAAAAGCGACGATATCGTTGTGGTTAGTGTCTAGCGGAGATATTGGGAAAGTACAAGTTTGAATTCGTTGACCACTGGATGTATGCCCATGGGTTGATACAGGATGCCTGACTCGGGTACAGGTCTATTGTCCTGTTCTCCCAAATACTATATTGATCTGAATGAAGAATGTTGATCCTTAACATTATTTTTGTTTTGTTTTGTTTTATATATTTACTATACTATGTTACAACTTATAGGTAGCTCATTACTCTAAGAAGGTTAACAAGGTTTATGTACTTTTGCTTCTTTTACCGCGAGATGGTCACATTGTCGTTACAATTTAGTTCTAGGACTTCGTAGGTCAAGCCATTTTGCACTCAGTTTACCTTTTCTCGCTTTGTTGTAACGAACCCTATCTCTCACATGAATGTCAACGGAATGTATGGTTTGGTCGTAGTCGAACTTAGTTTTCTGTTTCTTTGAATTAAGCTTCTCGAGCGATCGATGGGATTCCCAAACTATCGTTTAACTCTGTTTGGCAGTCATCATAATTATAACGGGCTACGGGGCTTTTGTGTGCAATTAGGCACTAAGGGTCTTGCCATATATGTCAATCGTAGTTGTTTCCCGTAGAGCTATGTGACCGATGAGTTATACACGAACATAGCGTACGGAACATTACAGGTCCGAATTTGTCTTGGTTGCCATCTACATAATGTCGAAGGTATTCTCCTAGGGTTCTGCTGGCTCGTTACAGGTGCCCCGTTCGCCCTGAAGATGGTAAGGTGACGTTGTGGAATAGCTATGCCGATAAGCTTGCATGTTTCAGTGAAAACTCGACTAAGAAATTCGGTGCCTTGATCGCCTGAATACAGGGCATCCCGCAATACATACGAAAATGTCACAAATGATGATGACCGCAATGTTTGACTCTTTATTGGCCATAGGAGTGCGATTGAAACTTGGTTAGATCATTGCATGGTTGTGCTTATATGCCGTTGACCATCAAAGTTCGTGTATGGACCAACGTCTATAAATACTTTCTCAAATGGTTCCGACGCTGGAGTTGCTAGATATCGCAGGTTGTTTTGTGTTACGGTTAGAGTACATTTGTTTACTTGGCGCATGGGTGCATTTATTTAGATTCGGTAACATCTGATTTCAAACCTTCCCAATCATACTGACGACGATTCGTTTTACCATGTCAATGCACGATGTCTCCTAGACTGTGACACGATGTTCATGGATTATAGCGTGCGATCCAGACTCGAGGCGTTTGCTGGGGTGCCCGGATCAAGGTGCCGGTTTTGTTCGAAGTAATCTCCCGGCGTACTCGGGCACCGGGCATCATGTCTGATGTAGGAAGAACATCGTGTGGCAGGCAATAAAACGGTAAATGTCAGCTGGAAGACTGTAAACGCCTCTCTTAGTAATACTACAACAACAAACATGATAGTAACTGCAACGTCAGAGCTCGACAACTGACGATCGTTATTGGTCAACCACCATGACGCGCAACTGCATGCAATGAATGCTAAGTTACTCAATCGCAGCAGTCAACGACAACTATCATTGTGACTTCTTTCGTAATAAATGGGATACTCGGGGATGTATGGTGACTCAGTACCAGGCCTAACTGGTCGTTTTCACTGGCTGCTCTGGCTTCCTGTCTGCCATCCTCAGCGAGCAGGCTGTGACGAACCCGGTACCTTCGACATTAGCGGCAACCACAAACACTACGTACTATGTTCGACCTTGCCACCTGCTCTACGAAACAACCTTACGGTACTTGCCAAGACGCCAGCAACGATGCTGTATAATATGATGACTACAATGGTAAAACAGAGGATTGAAATCCCCATCAGTACAGTGAAACAATCAAGTTCGACTTACGACAACCACATTCGTCGACATTCATGCCGAAATTCAGGAACCCTGTAAGCAGCAGTGTAAATAACTGGACTACAATCTGAAACTAAGTGACGACAATGAGCAAATCCTCAAGTAGAAGACAATACATAAAGCAAACACTTTCTTGATGATAATGACTACTCGCGGATATGAAATGACAATGTATAAAAAGGCAAAACAAAACAAAAATGATATTTTGATCGGCGTCTTCATTCGAATCAATAATATTTGGGCTGGCCGTTCATGCCCGGTAACCCGTGGGCTGTCCTGACTGTAACTTTCTGAATATCGCTTTAGGCTGCCAACACAACGATATCAAATAAGTATTTGTGTCGTATATTGAACAATCAACGCTGTTCTTTCAGTTGCCAGTACAGCCGCATCAGATTTTCACCAAATCGGTGAGGAGAAATTCAGGATCTTTAGACTCAAGTACCAACCCATGAAGATAACTTTCAATACGGTAACGAAATTTCAAA